ACTGGCTCTGCCCAGGGTGAGTGGCATGGTCTCGCCCAGACTGTGACATGATGATTCTGTGTTTGCAAATGGTTTTAACAACGAATGAAATATAATACGAAGGTTCAAGCCGCCCTCCTTCTAGCGCCAAACTGTTGTCAAATGGAAGTTAACAACAACCAAATTGGGATGTAGTTTAAGTAAATTTGAGTGTTCAACGATGAAGAACTTATATATTATAACTGGAAATGTAATTTCTAGTAAGGTGTTATTCCTGTCCCTTTGGGAAATTCTCTATCTCCCTTTTATATTTACATACCATATTTATCTGTACAATAATCATTACATTTTGAAAGGTCAAAGGCGGTCCTTGGTGGCTTCTCTTGATAGCTTGCCACTTGGATAAACGTAATGATGAATTATGCTGAGTTGTCGCCGCCTTACCATGCTGAGGTGGCATGTTATAGATATCGGTCCACCCAGTTATAACCGGTATGTCGTGGCTGATATGTAGCAACCGACATGTGTTGACCGACATGTGTTGACCGACATGTGATATCGGTCAACTTAGTAAGGATGTCGGTTTCTGCTGAATCTTTCATTGTGTAGTCATCTTGAAGCTGGTGGAAGTGTCACTTACTCGCATGAACTCTAATCACCATTATATTGATCTCAATCAATGGATTAATGTCGCTTAATCTGACTTACGGAAAATGATATCAACAAGGTGGCCCCCAGCATTAATGGTCGTCTGGATAAAAGACGGGCAATGATGCTGAAATTGCGACAGACCTTGACGAAATTCCTGTATTGATACGATATGTCGGTTTCGTCATTTGCACCCGACGTCTTCGTACTTGTGAAAATAACATCCGAAAGTTGAAACGGCAGGCTTTATTGAAATTAATTGCACCGTTTTATATATAGGAAAAACGGTCACTGAACATAGGCCACGTAGCTATTATAAAGAGGCACGATTTCCAAGGGTTGTGTCGACTCGGAGATCTGGAGTGTGCAACTCACGCGCCCCTATTCCATCAGTTCTCAACGGTCGCCTCGATCTAGGGCTTAATATAAATAGGGATTTTTCTTTCGAGATCTACTTTACTTTCATTTTCTTTGTGCACCCATATTTTCCGCTTTCTTTGCAAATTAATCACCCGTCATCTGTGCTCAAAGCAATTCAGATTCTCGGACGACTTCTTGTGGTAAGAATTTTCCATTATATTCATTTATTTACGCCGACTTTTCCTTTTCTTTTGTCGACACCATGAGTGTATCCTGGGCGTCTTCGGGTGACGACGAGTTGGATGTAATGATGATCAATATGGTTCACTCTGGGGAGTTAGAATTATTGTCTGAGTACAATCGGTGGGATCCGGTGTTTGTCGAACGGTTGAAAATCCGATTGAATGATAGTGAAGGGGATAAAGCCGTAGAGGAAAATGCCGTCGACGACCCAAGATTTTGGAGGCGACCTATCAGAAGATGGCCAAGCCCAGAGATAACATCTCACGGAGAGCCGAGTATTCTTACTGATGCCGACATCATTATGCTACGGGGCGAAATTCGAGTCCCCTCGTCGGTTCACCTGTTTGCTCCATATCCAGGTGAAAGGATCACTTGTCCCCCACCCAACTGTGTCGGCGTGTTTGCTGAGAGCTTGAGATCGGGCTTGCGATTCCCTTTGCCACGCATAATCACCGAATACTTACGGGACTGGGAGTTTCCGATATGTCAAATTGCTCCAAATTCTTGGAAACGAATCATTGGGCTGCTAGTACTTTTTGCCGAGAAAAAATGGGATCTGCCGTCGGCAAGGGACATAAGAAGCATGTTCACATTCCGGAAGAGTCCAGATAGACAAGTGTCGGACC